AGTTCTTTGTGTTTGCATAATTTAACATAAGAAGGAGATAGAAAGCCTCTCTTGAGTTTGTTTCGCCGGTTCTTCTCAGGAAGGTCTCCCAATTTTGGAACCGGTGGTAGTTTACGGTAGTTAGGGTCAAATAAATAAACTCAAAATTACAAACAAGAATTTTAAATAAAATACTTTATTAAGTAAATTAAATAATAAATTCATACATAGAAAATAAAACTTAAAAATCGAACAATGAAATAACCAAACGCTCAATAAAAGTCTTCCGAAGGTAGCTCGACAAATTAAACAAAAGTTTTATTCTGATGACGAAGCCTGTAAAGGCTACGAAACGTCAATAAATAAATAAAGTTTCGTGCATTAACCCGTAAAAACTAGTTTTATTTAATGAGTGATGTGCGTGAAAACCTAAGAAACAAATATAATAATAAACCTGTCTTTATTGTAAACCAAACCGCGAAGGGTCTCGCTTGATGCAGGATGGCCGAGCTGTTAGCATTTTTATAATATTAGCATTTTTTACAGATCGGTCAATAGTACAGTTATTGTTTTTATCTTAGTTTGTCTATGCTAAATCACGCCACATCACCTTACCTCCCTACCATCTTATCACGTGACGTGAAGGGGGACGGACTAGCGAGTGGAGCGGTTATAAATACGGTATTCAGTCGAGAGCCTTCGTCGTGAATAGTGGTCCAAAATTTAACGTGGTGTTGCTGCTAAATATTCTTGTTATAATAATTTTAGTTTATATTACAGTGAAGTACAAGTTGAATAAAGCAAGTGGAAAATTAACATTGTGGTTTAACTTCTGGAAACTAATCTAATAATATTAACAACCTCCAGTACAGTACTTACCTTTTGGTAAGAATAATCTGATTGACTTTTGGTCGCGTCCAAATCGTCAGTATATTGAATAGGACTCAACAGACATTTTAGTCTTATATGTAAGAAATACGCAACTGAAAATGCTATAAACATCGCATTGAAGTAATTTTAGCCCATACTGCGACTTAATACCTCTAATCTTAATACAACTTTGAGTCATATATAAACATTGTATAAAGTTCTTTACAACTGTTTTGTATGACTGTTATACAACCTTTAGTAGTATAACCAGTGCTGTCATCTTAGTAACGCCTATATAACTTGTACATTGACATTAATCGTAAAAGAGGCGCGAAAACTACCCTTAGTTGATTATCGTGTAAGAATGAAAAGTAACTTTAAGTCAATTTAGACCCTTTACACTACGTTTTTGACTGGATGTCTTATTAGTGTATGAAAATTGAGAAGGCACTAATTTGAAATGATTTTTTCGTATGAGATTTATTTTTAATGAACCCCAATTTCGTCAATGTGGCTCATTAGTACAGATGAAAAATAAGTGCATGGAATGAAAAGTCGTTAAGATGTTGTATTACGGTTGTATACTAAACTCTTAGTCGAATATATGTAACTATTAACATATATAACACGTTCGTTAAAATAATATGTAAAAATATTTCCATAATCATATTTTTTAGAAACCAGAAACTTTCAGTATGACCTCAGTAAGAAAGCTATGTTATATTCATAATAAATGAGAAACTTAAATAATATTCTTATCTAATATAATTAACAAAACAAATTGTACTACATAGAAAAGCCGATCAAATCAAGTCCTAAATACAAATATTTTGCGTTACAAAAAAAATGTACTACTTCATTAAATGTAACATGCCTATTTTGTGATCCAAATAAACATATTATTTTTTTATTTAAAATTATAGTTAATCCCAAACTATTATCATGAACAGATAACATGTTCTGTACCTACATATTAGTACAATGTGTAATAAAAAACAGACTGACCTCTTTCTACTTCGTTCCTACTATATGTATATATATGTATATGTGTATTGTTTATACTGAATATTTTTATATAATTATAATATTTTATATTTATAGTCACAATAATATAATTCTATCCTACTAATATTATAAATGTGAAAGTTTGTATGTTTGTTATACTCACTCACGCTTACTCTGCTGAACGGATTTTAATGATATTTGGTACGCATAAGTTTTTGACCTAGATTGAGACATACGATACTTTTTATCTCGGAAAAATAACAAATTTCTGAGGGATTCTTACAAAATTAACGCGAAAGAAGTCCCGGGCGGAAGCTAGTATAAATAAAACTATCGTAAGAGGAGCAATAATTGGTTTTCAAACTGTTTAATCAGATATACATATATTTTTAACGTCATTACTATCGTAGTAGAAAGGTAATAACATTTCTACGAAGGTTAATTTATTTTAACCGTATGCATACACACCGTAAGCGTATTTATTTATTTTTTATTATTTAATATTATAAACGTAGATATATTTGTTAATCTATTAAAAGCCGGGGATTACAAAGAGGAAAAATTATATTATATGTTATTCTACCGCCAACATATAGTGGGAGCGTTTAAAGATTTTATTTTTGTGTAATTTAATATGACTGATACATATATATTTAGTACCTACCTAAGAACACAACTAAACAACTATTATATGTTTCTTATAAGTCTATAAGAAATTTTTGATGGAATTTGTACTTTAAAGCTTAACTTAATATTTCACAAAGAAGATGAATAAAAATTGTTTCAACAATAAGTACCTACCAGGTAAAATATTATAAAGGTGTTTCGTACAAATATCGCGCTATTTTACATACACATAGAAAATGGACTAAGCGAAATCCGCATAAAATTGATGACTCTCAACAAAGAGAGAAAATACAGCCAATAACTGTACCTCAGATCAATGATACGAACAATGAGCCGTCTGATCGCTTCATCTCAGGCACATGCCCCACCGCCGACGATTAACCACGCATTTATCCTCACCAATATTGGTGTTATTGGAAAGCCCATTAAATGAACTTAAAAAACAATTCAATTATTTTTTATTGGAACAGTGCAAAAAACCATTAAGTTTACAAAACAATTAAAAACAGATTTATTACAAAAAAAAATACAAAAAACGTTCATAAACTAACCTAAAATCTAGTGTAACCACCCCTTGCCCGGATGAAGACTTCCATACGCTGCCTAGATCTTACCAATTTTAGGAGCTCTTCTTGAGGGGTACTGGCCAATTCCTCAATAACAGCCTCTTCGAGCTCCTGGAGAGTAGTGAGAGCGGGATCACGAGCCCGAACCTTGCATTTCAAATGGTCCCAGAGGTGATCTATCGGGTTCAGGTCTGGACTTCCCGCTAGCTACTGCAAGACAGAGATCCCAACCTCTTGAAGGTAAACGAGCACAATTAATACAGTGTGAGCGCGAGCGTTATCGTGCATTAATGTAAACCCCTCGCCAACAAAACCGGCATAGGGGACCACATGCTCTTCCAGCGAGCTCCTCCAGCCCGGGAGACGCTTACAAGGCCAGTTTTGCCGTTGGCCGACATGCGGCCCCAAAACATATAGAAACCATATACCACACTCTCTTAGATGCAGGCTTGGACGAAACGTTCCCCCTGTCTTCTGTACACTCTTCTTCTGCTCTCGTCTCGTCTCAGAAGAGAACAGCTCTTCATTGGTCAAGGTTCCAAGTGACGTGGTCGCGAGCAAATTACAAGCGGGCTCACTGATGCTCTGCGATCAATTTTGTACCCGTAGTAGCTCTATGAGCCACTATCTTCTTTTACCTCAGTCTTCGTCTCCCCGTAGAAACGCTCACGGTTCAGTATGCCTGGAGCTGCTGTTGCAACTCACAGCATAAGAGAACCGATTCAACGAAGTCAACTTGGGCGGGCGGTGCGGCAGTGGGTTGGGCGACAGGGCGACTGTCGAAGAAGCGGGTGGCACCGATAGAACTACGGTCTGGGCGTAGATGGTTGTGAGTGTGTAGGTGGGCAAACCTTTTTCACATCTTTCTGTAACGGAGAGAGACTGGGTATCACCCGTCTCGGTCATTGCTCGCGTGGTGGCAACGGGGCGGGTGTCTGCGAAATCAGCAGTGTGGGTAGCGGCGACTGTTGTGTGATCTGCGTACCCGTCGTACCCGTGGTGTGGGGTGTTGTAAGTGCAGGCATTAGTGTAGTGCGCTCGCTTGCTATGGGTATGCAGTTCCATGCCGGCCGAGGGGCCAGGTCAGTTACTTCCGTCTTATCTACAGGATAAGAGCGAAGACACTGTTTGGTGGATTTAGGGGTCCGTGCGCGAACAAAAAGGTTCATAAACAGTCCTGATAACCGTTGAACCTATATTAACCCTTTTTTACCCACTTAAGGTAGCACAACTAGCGGCTGTGGTAAATATATACATCCCTATAGGTTACACAAAAAAAATATGATAAATTTATATTTATTTTATGTTTCTTGGGCGAGAAAATAGCCGTTAGTCGCTTCCTCGCCGGCGGTGGAACATCTGCCTAACACTTACTATTGTTCTATTTTACGGTTGGGTAGGGACAGCTCAGATCACTCTCTATGTCTATGCTATTTAAGACCCCCTGTGCCCTATTTCACAAAGTCGACATATGTGGCTGACATATGTCATTAACATTTTGTTACAATTGTCCGTATCTTACTTCAACGACAATTATATTGTGACACAAGGGTAATTTTTTTAAGACGACAAATTACATGAAATCGGGGCTGTGTAAGATTTGCGTTACAACTGTAGTAGTTGCGTTGTTACAAAATGGCTCTCCGGGAAAACTTGAAAAGATGAGTTCTTATACAGGAGAATTTATAAACAACTAATAAATTTCTCCTCCAATATCACTGATTTTGCGTTCAAAGAAAAAAATATAGATATAAAAGATCCCTCCACAACAAACCGTCGGCTTACTTAAGTCAGTGATATATGTCAACTTGGTGAAATAGGGCACTGGTCTTCTAATAGTAAACAGTAACACAAAGTTTGTAAGCAGAACCCTAGTTAATTCACAAGATACAGATAAGGTGTAAAAAAAGATTACGCGTTGCTCATTAGTTTCAATGATCGCATGTTTTCCGTTCAGTGGAGCTTGGCAGTGTCGTTGGGTACTGAGACTCGTTTGTTGGTGCGCTCGTCCGAGCTGATGGTGCGGGAGAGAAACGTGGACGAGGTCCGCCCCGACGACGAGGCGCCGTTCTTCCTCGCCTCTGGTTTCTCCAACCCTGCCGTATTAGTCACACATTAGTAATGTTGCAATATGAAGCATGCAATGCAATACGGATAAGTAAGCGTCAGTTAGGTACACCTTTTTGCTAACTACGACCAAGGCGGTTGTTATGAAAAAAATCGTGCGAGTTATCTATACAATAACGAGTGCTAAAGTAACTTAGAAAGATAGATGATAGCTATGAAATATAAAATTAGCAAATGTTGCTAATATAAAATTAGGTAGGTAGTAATGTCGATTCTGGCGTGATTCTCTAAACTTAAAACTAAATTTAACATCAGTCTTTATACAACAGATACAGTGTTGTCAAATTTAAGTTTAGATATAGAGAATCGCGCCAGAATCGACACTAGCATTTCAGGCTACTTAAAAATTATAGTGGAGTGGTTGCCAACAAAATTATTTATTATTCTTCATAAGCCAGGCTGTTGAGTTTGACCCTGTTTTTATTTGGTGAATATTATTAGGTGTACTAGAAAAAAGTTGACAGTTTAGTTCCTACTGACGACGTGCTTGTTGACGAAGTGCTAGTGCTACATGCGGTTGTGAAAAGATCCGCGCTGCAGCAGGGCTGCTGTGATTTATTTTCACAGTAAAATTTGGTTTTACGTTGTGCTTTACTAAGCGAAAAACATCTTGAGAAAACCCCCAGACAAGAAACTTGCGCAGTTAACGTTTTTTAATGTAAAATTGCTACTGCGCAGACTCCGCTGTTTATGGTTTGTGCTCAACATGTTGTAGTATATATAAAAGCATGGATGTGATCCATGCTTGCTGCAGCGCCGAACTTTAAGAGTATAGCCGCCGGATACTTAATAAAATACCTTTATGGTTATTCAGTGGTAGAAAAATAGACTTAGTAGGTAATCTTTACCTGTAAGAAAATATTCTTATTATTTCTTCACCTACTAAGTCTATTTTTCTAGTCTAAAATAAGTACTATACTAATAAGCACAACACTAAACAGTATATTTCTAACAACATTATTTAGCTACAGGGCAATCAATTAAGCATAAGCGCAAAGTTTCAGGTGACTATTTTAAAGGTAAGGTAAATATTACCACTTTTTGCAAAACAATATATCCTATTTTTGACTGGGTATAGAGAACAAATTTTGTCATAAAGTGCATGTAAAGTACCCTTAAGCCACAACCAAACGAACAGAGAACCACACGTTATTTAACTCCAAGAGTGAATTCTTGAAAAAGTTCAAACATTTGGAACCAACAAAATATATTTAATTTAACTATCTGAAACTTAAAATTTCATGTTAAGTTAAAGTTGATTGTTAAGTAGTACATTATAACATTGAAGTAAAACTTAATGCATTAATGCACTTATCATATTTTTGCCCTACCTATTTCAAAATTGTGATTATCTTAACTTTTGCATATTACTCTCCCTTATTGTAAACACTCTTGTATTGTATTACTCTCCCTTCTTGTAAACACTCAATTGCATGAATGGTTGTGTGATGCATTAAAAGCATTGCATCTTTACATAAAATTCTAACCAAATCGAGTCAGATGTTTTATCTTTTTTTGCTTTTGTCACATGACCAGCGTCGCGTCGTACGAATGGCCTATACATTAGCAAGCTAATTTATTAAATGTTGTAATAAACACTGCGGCTGAATATCATTCAGGTCGCTGGTTGAACTTCGCTGTTTAGTCAAGAGGCTGGGTTATTGATTTAGCGGCTAATTAAGCTAGTTGGCTGCGACATATCTATGACGGCAATGTTGAAGTTTTATGTTACCTAATCTTTGTTACAAAGTGGAAAAATATACGGGCCATAATACCCCGTTAGGTATATATTCGGTCTAAATTTTATGTTGTCTATGAATTCCCAAAAAAGGCAGATTATAAAAGAAGAAATGACATCTTTTTTGGGAAACATTTTACCCTTACATAAATGTAAAGTCTTCCTTCTCGGTCAACAAGATACTGCGCTTTCTAAAAACAGCAGCTCCTAAATGCTGTTTTTTGGCATTACATTAATCATAACTGCTTCATGAATAGGAAATCCCCATAACTATACAGTTTTCATCGCTGCAATACTTAAAGCAGTGAATAATGTCAAGAAAATCTGATACCTTTAAGTATTTCCCTATCCACAAGTACCCGTCTACTGAGAAATTAAAAGAATCACATTTAACACGATTTTTAATAGAATTAAGATTTCTTTCTTGGTAATTAGATTCACCTGTGACATAAACACATAATTGGAGTTGTGTGTATGTTGTTATCTACACTAATTTATTATTTTGCTTGCTAAAACAGATGCAAAAATAACTAAGGCTCTTATTACAGAATGGCAACTAAATGTTGATCTTTACTTGAGTACAGTGTCGCAATGTACAGCACTGAGTCCCATATTATAGAAAGATTCTCAGTAATAAATCTAGTCTTGAGCATAGTCAGAAAGGGATAATGCTATATATAGCACATAGCGACATCCCCTTCTAACTGTATTCAAGAAAAGATCAACACTAAGGCCCGTGTTATAGAAAGAATCTCAATGATTGATCTGGTCGTGAGCATAGTTAGAAAGGGATGTCGCTATATATAGCACATAGCGATATCCCTTTCAAACTGTACTCAAGTAAAGATCGACACTATCCACAACCTACGCCCAACCTACTTCTGTAATACGGACCTTACTTGTCATTCTGTAATACGAGCCTTACACCCGTATTATAGATAGATTCTCACTTATTAATCTAGTCTTGAGCACAGATGGAAAGGGATGTCGCTATATAAAGCACATACCGACATCCCTTTCTAACCGTACTCAAGTAAAGATCAACACTTAGTTGTCATTCTGTAATACGGGCCTTAGAGTCCAAATCAAAGTTAAAACTGAGAATGAAGCTAGTGCGAGTCGTTAAAATACTACGTCAAAAGTAGTGTTGGAAAATATTAATAAAATTAGAGACAGATAGTAGTATTAAAATTAAATACTTGTATCAGTTGACGTCCTTGAATATCCTGGAAAAAAACGAAGTTTTCATTGCAGTTATCCAAATGACACATTGTAATGTCGTAATGTCGCACGCTAAGTATATAATTATATTATGAATTTTCCTATAAGCATTGGTAAACCTAAATTTAACCAGTTTATCTAGAATTATCCAAGTCCAAACGACGCTTTGTAATGTCGCACACTAAGTTTATAATTATGTTATGAATTTTGCTAGAAGCATTGGTAAATCTAAATTTAACCGTTTTATCTAGAATTATCCAAGCCATTGGGTAAATCCACAATATGACTTTCATCTCTTCTTTCTTGCAGGGTTAAATATATTTTATAGTGTCTGACTTCCATATGTGCACAGTTTAAACTTATACCTTAAGCAATTCTGTTAGTAATAATACCCGTAAGTAATAATAATAAAAAAGATTGCTCGTATGTTATGTCTGTCCATGTGGCTGAACTTGTGAACAAAAGACTTATCTACATTTAGCTATTTTTATGGAACACTATTTTTTATTTATATAACTTGTATTTCATTAGGGGAACTCCTTAGATTTTTTTATTATTCTCTCAAAATATTTTCGATGGCAAATTAATCAAAATTTGTTAAAAACTAGATTTTTTGGCTACCCTAATTGAAACGGAGACTGTTTTTCATTTAAGTTTATTCGATGTAACTTTAATAAGAACTGCGTATATTCCAAGGGTCTTACCAAGCCTCTTCCTGATGAGGTAGTAGAGCTTCGGTTTGAAGATCAAAATGATGAATATCAGAACCCCCTGGAGTTCGTTCACCACATCGACTAGAGTTATGATCCAGTGCACTTTCGCGTCGGGATCCATCAGTAGTGTTGAGATTAATTCCGAAATCCAGCCAGCTCCCATTACCACCCATAATTTTCCGGTCAACGTCAAACTGTAAGAGAAATATCATTAATCTTAAAAATTAGTAGTTTAAAAAAAATATAAATACGCGCTTTTGTAAATGCACATAAAAACCAAAAATAAATTATGAATCGTTCAAGTTCACTCTATTTCTGGGCTGAAGTGTAAATATATCTATGTGCTTTTAATTATAATATTTGATTGTAAAAGCGTGGGGCGCTGGAACAGGAAAGACTTTGTATAACTACAAACGCTAGTCTGTCGACAAATGCTAATCTGTCTCGCCCACCGAGGGTTCTGCCTAATTTGTAGCTACATAATAATAATAATTATATTTATAATTACTTAGTAAACATTTATAACATAGGTACAGAAATTTGATCACTCATATAATTATAACAGCGCATACCGTTGATTGAATAACCTTGATGATGATGATGTTTTTATATTTTTCCGACATTTAGTTCTAAGTCAACGAAAAAAATTCTATCAATTTCATTCCCTTATGGGTGTTGTGATGTTAAATTCCCCTCCACTGCCCTCTTTTCGCTCACTCAGAGCACCGGGGGAACAATAAAAGAAAACCAAAAAAATTAAGATAATGTTATAAGTATATTTTATCCACTTTAGATACCAAAGCATAGGAATTCAGTAGTTTTAAGTTATTGTTTATATAAATCAACAAGTCTAACTATGTTTATTATTTATATAATAACTATGTTTCACTCACTAATTATAAATATCTAGGCTGAATACAGTAGTTCAAAGTTAATGTGTATATAAACCAACAAGTTGTCATGAAAGGTTATAATTATAAGAATATCAGACATTCATAACACTTTACCATGTACTTACAATATAATACTTGCTAATATTTTCTATCCACAAATACCACATAGACTATACTGAATAAGCTATTTAGTGGATTTCAGAGGTTCTACGGCTCGTTTGATCGATATTGGTGACAAACTTAGTTAATTCTAGTTCTCAGTGAGATAACCAGTTATATAGGTATATGTAAATATATGGAAATGGGCAAGTCGGGGTCCAACCTCGCCTGTGGTTCCTTTTCACGTTCACCCGGGGTTAGTAGAGAAATACCTTGATTATGATAGGTTAAGCTGTGTATAATCTGTCTGCTGTTCGGCCGGGTTACATAAAACCGGAGAGCGGCTGGCAAATAAACTCCCGCGCCCCTTCTGGTCCGTGCACAGAACAAAAGTCTCCTTGTTAGTCCTCCAGTATTTCTTGAGGGGAACGTACAAGCCGTTCGAAATATGAAACTATCCGTAAGTATTTTGTTTCCTATCACAGGTTACCGCCTTATTATTGCAATCGCCTTGCGAAGGTTCGTGTTCGTCCACGAAACTCAGTTCGGTTAGCGACTCCGCGCTTTTTCCGCCAATATCCTTCGGGATATAAACTTTTCGGATCTATCTCACGACTTCGACGACAATAATATGCCGTTTATTGTACTTTGGGCAGAAGAAAAGATGAAAAGTTAACTGTACCACAAACAGATTGTGAAATTTTAAAAGTTGTTTTGACAATTGCTCATAGATGATAGACGGATCGTCCTCTCCCAAACATATGTCTATGATTGGTTTCCCACTTCAACTGAAGGCAAAGGCCACAGTCAAACAGACAGCCGCCGCATTCGAGACGAACCGAAGAATAAACTCAAAACTATATACCTACGCTCGCCGTAAGCTGAGGAAAAGGGAATACCTACCCAAATCAGCGAGGAAATTCAATTTCGAGTAAAATTCAAAATCGATTAAAAAACAGCACCCGATAAGGAGGACTCAAATCGATCTGGGAAAGACTATTCAAAATTCAACAACTGTCAAACTCCATCCATTCATCCACGCGCCCCCACAGAGATTCCCCGCCTGATTACTTTTTTTTTTTTTTTTTTTTTTTTTTTATAAGTCTCAAGGCGAATATTTTAGTCGAATAGGAAAATCGACTCTTCCCTCAAGGCTACCAACCCAATCAATGAAGTTTGACAGCTACGCTGACGTAAGCGGTTCGCTATCATAGACAAAACAGCTGTCCTACGTGTGTCAGTGTCACGCTCTGTTTAAAAACAAACACTACAGTATCCCCCCACTCACGGCAGAATTCACGTAGGGAATTCGTCGAACGCCCTCGTTCGTATATCCCCATGTCTTATGTACTTTAGTTAAGATATGATTAGGTTATGTTGTATAAAATAATAGAATATTATAAACCGTTAAGTTAAGAAAAAATAAACATACAGAACGATAAATCATTGATAAATCTCTAAGTTGTAACAAAAATAGATAATAATAAATGACAATAGTAACACAAAGTGTATACCACTCAAGGCCGTACCGCAAGCATCTTTGCTCCGAAAATAGATATAATAAAAAAAAATAATTATAATGTTACCAGTTATACCGAGAAAAACATAATGGTAGAAAATTAACCAAAGAGATGTTATTGGTCAAAGGTGATTTGCTCACAAAATTGCATGTTGTGTGTTCGTCCATCGTGTGTCTCATTTACTGTCTCCCGAGAGAAATAAAAAAAAATATCATAAATATTCTATGCTCATCATAGGATATTATGATAAAAGTTGTTGTTAATACGTTTTCATTTGTATTAGCAACTTCAATAAAATGCCTTGGTAGGTAAAAAACTAACAAGCACATTAACAAAATGTTCTCCTGGAAAAGTTAAGAGACAATTAAGTGTTTAAGCATTAATTAGGTGGCAAACAAAGAGATCACACTATCGGGGACGAACACACACATGGGTATCTAAGATGCAGTGTGATACCAAGACCCATTGACGATTTCTACGTCACGCCGGGCAGAAGGCGGAATGGGTATTCGTCGGCCGCCACATCCACGGCGATAAGTCCCTACCTAAATATCTATTCGGGGTCAGCGCTTTTGAAATCTTTTATATGCCATTTGCCTACATACTTCCCGTTTTCGTCTTCGAGCTCGTAAACGAGTGGGGAGAGTTTACGGATTATTTTGCAACGTTCATATTTCGGTGCAAGTTTGACTGAAAAGTATTTATGAGCCGCGCTTTGTTTATACGTCCGTTTCCAAATGTAATCGCCTACGTTAAAGGAAATATCCCTACGACGCCTGTTATAATATTTAACGTTCCTATCGTGGGCTTTTCGCAGTGAGTCCTTGACCTCTTTAAAGATTTCACCTAAATGACCCAGATTAGACGCATGAGTATCCCGGGGTACTATCACTAACTCGTCAAGATCGTGGAAACCGGCATAAATACTACCATCGGTCACAGCCTCCCTACCATGAACTAACATAAACGGAGTATATGACGTGGATTCGTTCACAGAGGTGTTCATAGCGAACTGGATCTTATGAATATTCACGTCCCAAGATCTATGGTCATTTTCAACGAACGAGGCCACCGCAGTGATGACAGTACGGTTATAACGTTCGACAGTGTTAACCTGAGGGCAATACACAGGACCCAAATGGACTTGTGGTATATTATATTTGGCATACAAAGATTGAAGTTCATGGCTTACAAATTGCGATCCGTTATCGGAGATCACGGTTTGAGGTATACCATGAATCAAAAAGACATGATCCTCCAGTCGCTGAGCAATCACCCTACCCGTAGCTCGACGTAAAGGAAATAATAAACAATATTTTGTAAAGCAACACACTACTACCAGCAAATAGTTGTTTTGCTGTCTGGACATCGGCAGTGGGCCAACTAAATCGATGCTGATGCACTGGAATGGCCGACAGCAAACTTTAGGTTCTCCCATGAACCCAGGAGTTGCCAGTGAACTGTGTTTGTATGCGTTGCAAACCGAGCAACTCTTAATAAAATCCACGGTATCCTTATACATACCGGGCCAAAAATATCTTAATTTTAAACGTTTATAAGTTTTTGCCACACCAAGATGAGCCGCGATTGGTTCAGAGTGGTTCTGTTTAATTATAGATTCCCTACTCTCAATCGGGATAACCTGTTTCCACTGGTAATCACCACTGAGCTTATTACTACTTTTTGTGAAACGGTATAACCTACCATCAACTATCTGAAAATTTGGACAAGCTCTAGGTTTGTCCGTACAACGTTTAATTATATTATTATACCACGAGTCGGCTGTGGCGTCAGTGATACCTATAGATGCCACGGGAACAGAGCGGGATAACGCGTCAGGTACCACATTTTGTGAGCCACTGCGATGTTCTATTACAAAATTATAGGGTGATAATCTACAACCCCAACGCGCCAAGCGACCGGTCGGATTTTTAAGCTTCAGAAACCATTTTAGACTAGCATGATCGGTAATAACACGAAATGGCCTACTACCCTCCAGATAGGGACGGAAATGCTCGACTACATGTACCACAGCTAAAGCTTCCCGCTCGGTAGCCGAGTAATTTCGCTCGGCGTGGGTAAGTGAGCGACTACAATACGCGACCGGATGCTCCTGGCCGTCTACGGTTTGGGTGAGGGTACCTCCAATGCCAAAATTGGACGCATCGCAATGAACTGCAAATTCCTTCGTGAAGTCCGGACATGCCAAAACTGGGGCACTTGTAAGAGCCGACTTCAAGTCCAGAAATGCTTGCTCTGCCTCATCCGACCATTTAAAGGGAGGAGCACCCTTACGCGTAGAAGTGAGAGCATTTAATGGCCCGGCCATATGGCTAAAGTTTTTAATAAATCGCCTATAATATGATGCAGTTCCCAGAAAACGTTTCACCTCCTTTCTATTAGCGGGTATGGGAAAATCCACAATAGCTCTTATTTTATCGGGATCGGTACGCAAACCATATTCATCAACCACGTGACCCAAATACTTCAACTGTCTTCTAAAGAATTGACACTTCCCCATATTAATAGTTAAATTAGCCTCCAACAATCTATCTCTGACTTTACGTAGAATATCAAGATGTTCGGACATAGCAGGCGAGGAAGTTAAAATTATTAAATCATCCAAATAAATGAATATTTTATGGTTATCCGGGTGAAAATCTGGTGACCCGGATCCCAACA